GGATACAACTGCCTTGTATATTCCTTTGTTCTAACTGCTTGTTCTTGATCCTTTGGTGTAAACAAGTTACAGTATTAGGTATTTAAATTTACTATGCTAAAGTATTAGTTGTAGTGGTAAGTTGGTAACAACTGCCCAATTTAACATAAGTTATGACATGGCATGAGTAAGATTGATTTATGCAGTTTAATGTTATTTGAGTTATATGTATATGTACATTGTCTTAGCCTGCATCCTGCTGTGGACAAAGGTCGATCATGCTCATGTCAAAGGTCATCTTAAAACAAACAAATATGGCTGTGCCTATTGGCATATAGCAGCTGCCAGCGAGTATTATAAAGGTCTACAAGTCTGTCGATAGTGTTATTATATATTATATTGCTGTGATTATTTCACATGTGTCACGAAGGTTGATCTATAGTAACGTGCCTAATGATTAACACTTTGTCAACAATCACTTTGATTCCGATGGTTCCTTGCAGTAAATTTATACATTTCTACAATATACTGAATTATGATCTCTGAAGACGATTCACTTGCAATTCTTGATACTTTGTATGTACAGTATTATGTTTATGATTACTGTTTACATGATGTAATTAACTGATGTAAATTAGATATTGTTGTTTTATGCTTAGTCACCAGATCAGCAGAGAGAAACCAAATAAATATACCATTGTTTTATACGGTAGTCGTGTGGAAATCTTTATTGTCTGCGTTGGGTAATTGTGGCGCCCTCTACCAAGCCCCTAAATAGTTGATTGTGGAATCAACTACATGTACATTATAATTTTGATGACATCAGGTTATTTATTACATATTATTTTAATTTATAGACTATATGTTATTTTAAAGTTTGTTTATGATTCCTGCAAAAAGTAATATATAAATGGCAACTTATTTGACATTAATGGTAGGTTCTTTAAAAAAAAAATTACTTGAGTTCACAAAAATGCATATGATTTATGTTGATATGATTCAAATTTTGCTATTTTACAGAATTGAATTATTTTGAAATTTAAAAAATGGCCTATTTTTTTCAAAATAACAAAAATTAAATCAATAAATCAACTTAAATCATGATTTCTTTGAACAAATAGATAAAAAAAATCCCCATTTAGGCTTTTTTTTAAATAAATAATTTTATTAGTCAATGTATCATTTGTTTGTTTTTTTAAATACATTAATTTAATAAATCAATGAATATTTTGTGTTATTATTGTGTAATGATGTTACTGTCTTTTTTTAAAAAAAAACTTTGAAGCAAGCATTTTTTCAATAAAAACTAAAATGTTACTACATCTTTATAGATAGTAATATTTTAACTTCTGTATTTATGTAAAACTTTTTAAAACTCAAGCATATTTTTTAACAAAATGTTACTACTAGATTTTAAAGTTACATTTTTTGAAAAACTTTGAAATCCCTAAAATATATAATTATTCCCAAATAAACAAGTTGTAAATCATTCTCAGACACAGACTGCTAAACATTGATTTAAGGCATGTTTATACTTGCAATGATAACAATAAAAAGCTAAAAAGCAATAGTTCATGTAAAAAATAAAAGAAATAAGAGTAATAAGTTTTTACACTTGGACAGTTCCATAACAATTTATCTTGTATACAATAACAAAATATTTTGACAAGTCAATTCAGATGACGTCATAATCATAGAAAAACAATAAAATCGTTATTACTACTACGATTTTATCAATTGTCCATGATTATGTTTTTGTATACATGACTGTAGTCATTGAATCATCCTAGTGTAAAAACTTCTCTTATTTATATTATTTTCTATATGAACAATTGCTTTTTAGATTTTTATCGTTATTGTTGCTTGTATAAACAGGCCTTAATGCTGCTTTTTTGCAGCATTAAGTAGTTTTATTACTAAATTTTATCATGGAAGGCCATTTTTCGGTATTCCTAAATTTTGTCGGAGCTCTCCTGTTATCCGCGCCATTAATGTGCCTAAAATTAGTAATGTCATAAAATGCTTTCAATTTGACATTATATTACAAATCTTTAATAATAACTCTGCTTCTTGTGTCCTTTATGGGCAAATAAATAAAAATAAATAAATTTGGGGCCATATTTTTTTTTTTCTTTTTCTAGTGGCATTTTTGCCTACTGTATATTCAAAATTTATATCTTTGTACATACAATGACAAAAACAATGATAATTTTAATTTCTCCTTAAAGCACAAGTCATCTCTCCTTTAGTCTTAACCCAGTCTTTTAGGCATGCCAAACAGAAACTTTAGAAGCAGTTGAGTGATTTTGAATTTTGAAGTCTCTTAAAACACATGGCTCTTTCTAACAACACCTTCTCATTAACCTTTTCCAGAAACTGATTTAACTTACCTGTAGACATCTTGATATAAAATCCTGTGAATTTTAAATAATTTAAATAATTATTAAATACGATAATGATAATCATCATTGAAACATGACAAACTAATCTGGGTAGCGTTATTTAGATCCATTAATTATTTTAGAGATATTTAGGTCTGGAACCTTTTAAATGACCCTGAAATTCACACCCGAATTTGGATCGTCACCAACACTTACTCATAACTTGGTTAAACTTTCACAAAACTTTCATTCAGTTTCGGTGACATGTTTTTAAAATATTTGGTGTAGAGTGTTTGCTTTTAAAATCCATTTAATTGGACCTCACATCCACACCCTACTCTGGATCGTCACAAAAATGTTATCATTTCTTCATTGGGCTATACCTAACACTCCCTGTTTTTTTCAATGGTGCAGCCATTTTTGGGATATTGCAAACACAATAAACCACATAAAAACATTAAACACATGACTGAAAACATATATCTCCTGGTGGGGATAAATAATAATAATAATAATAAAAAATAATAATAATTATAAATAAATGAGGAAAACAAATAATGATTTTTGCATGATAGATATGACAGGGGTTAGAAAACTTTGTTAACAATAAAAATCTGCGAGTGCATTTTCAATGTATGAGACGAGACTCAACAGGTACTGACCAGGGTTCAATTAGATCAATCCCTGCAGCCAGGGTGTATCCCCCTACTGCGGTTTTGGGCGGTTTTGGTGCAGGCTTGGCTTGGAACTTTCATCTTTTCTTTTTTATTGTTTCACCTTTCCAAGCATCTCACTTGTGTTAATACAGTGATGTCATGTCACCTCTACAATAGTCAATTCTCCAGATAATCACTCATTGTTGTTTTTAAGTTCTATTCATTGTCTTTCTTATTAGTTGAGTTACGATTTTTGGTGCTAATTTTTTGTGTAATATTTATATTTGTACTTTTTGTGATATGTATGTTTTATTGTATAAGCACAGGAAAGCAAACTTCATGTTATTTTTTATATGTGACAATAATATCTACCTTGAACCTTACCTTGCAGAGACTTGAAAATAAATTAAAGATTCTTTAATAATATTTAAAATTTATATATTATTAAAGAATCTCTATTGAGATCCAGCAGGCCGCCATTGATGCATGGTAGAGATTGCATCATTAGATCTCTGATCTTGTTCACAAATTCACGGACTAGTGCTGTCTCGTTAAGAATGACAAAATATTCTCTGTATCTACTGGAACCGAGCCACATATAGCTTGCATTCCACTATTTGCATTCACACCTGGGCTGTGTATATATATTGCCTTGGTTTGGCTCTGTAATCATTAGTGGTCGTGGGACTAGTTTGGGCCCTACCTAAGCTGGTCCGTCTGCAAATATTGGGATTCCTTCCAGTGGATGCTTAGGTTTTTACTTGATGTTATACCCATTTGTCACCTGTTTCTATCCCTTTCATATTTAGATTTGTTGTGACGGCACTTAGTGATGAGCTCGTTTCTTTTGTTAATTGTGTTGGGTTCTTTGTTGCATAGGATGGCTAGTTTCTCTTCAATGCATAGGTTACATTGCCCTGAATTGCGCATGTGTGTGTTTGATTTCTTTAGGATCTCCCACTTTATTGCATATTCATGACCTTTTCTTTTTAGTTGCCATATGTGTTTTGAGAGTTCTGTTTCTTTTTCGTATTGTTCGTGTCTAAACGATTTCGTGTGGTTGTTATACCTTTGCTTGAAAGGTCCTCCTGACAGGCCTATGTATGTTTTTGTGTTTTCTTGTGTTGTATAGTGGCTCTATATACTAGGGCACTGGTTAGGCATTTACCGTTTAATGGGCAGTTCTCGATATTTCTGCAGTTGCATGACTTACTGGGTGTTTCTTCTTTGGTTTTGTTGATGATTTTTGAGTTGTTAGATGTGTATAAGAGACAGGGCGTACGTACGACTTACGAAGGCTTTAATGTTGTTTTTGTTAAAGAGTTTGTGGTATCTGTGTCCTCTTGGGAAGTGTTTGCTTATTAATTTCAGAAATGTTCCGCCTACGTTGGTTTTCACGTTTTTGCTGTATGGTGGATTAAACCAGATTGTGTTTCTGCTCCGGTTTCTTTTCTTTGGTGTACTGCTTTCTTCGTTGTCTTGAAATTTTATTCTTTCTGTATATCCGCTTTGTGCTAGCGCTTCGTTGTATATGGGTGCAGTTTTTTGGAAAGCTTCCTGATTGGTTGATAGTTGCGATATTCGTTTTGCTATGGTTTCCGGGATGCGTTTAATGATCGGGGGTGGGTGGTTGGACTGGGCATTTATGTATAAGGGTTGGTTGCCGGGTTTTCTGTATGGCTGGTATGTTTCCGTTTCCAGGTTAAGGTTCACGTCTAGGTAATTTATGGATTTCAGGTTAGTTTGTACGGTTATTTTTAGGCCGTGTGCTTGAAATATTTTAATGAGTTTCTTTCTTGTTAGGTCTGCTTTTCTGGCAGTTTGATTTCTTAGGACGGCTAAGCCGTCGTCTCTGTATAGACCGATGCTAGTGGCGTTTAAGTTTATTTCAAGTTCCTGTAGTAAGTATAGTCCTACTATACAATTTATGATACACTCCTTGTTGATTAGTTGAGCACTTTATTCAATATTAGCCGTATCCTACGCCATGGAACCATTCAACCTGAACTATTCTGACAAGAACATCCTGTTACCGGCACCCAACGAATATCTAAAGATACTTCTAGAAAAGGTAGAAAGCGTCATCAAACGAATGAGATGGAAAGCCTTCTTTTTCGACAAAAAACAGAAAAAGACGAAAATACCAAAGACAAAACTGACGAAAATTATGGAAAATTTGGCTTCAAGTCTAGAAAGACACCACCACAAATAGAAGATATGATGCAATTCGAAAAAGAAATAATAGATCTGACAACCAGCATAGAATTCCGGAAAACAAAAAACCAATTTCAGTCCAAACTATCGGAAGACATCAAACAGATCAACTCCTCGAATAAGCTACGTATACCGGCAGAGAAAACAAGAAACTTCTACAAGATGAACCGAGAAAACTACGAAAAATTGCTCACCCAAAACATAACTCAGAATTATAAGACTGCCCATACCAGCACAATCAATGAAATCAACACAGAATTCGACATAATCACCAAAGAATTGAAAATAAACGACAGGATAGGCAACGCAGCATGCAGACAAGCCTTCATCTCTCTTAAAGACCACAAAGAAAACTTTGAAACAAACCCAAAATGCAGACTTATCAATCCAACAAAAAGTGAAATAGGAAAAGTAAGCAAGCATATGCTAGACCGAATAAATAACGATATAAGGCAAAAAATACACGTAAAGCAATGGAGAAACACATCCGCCGTATTAGATTGGTTTAACAACCTGCAAGAAAAATAACACCTAACTTTCATCGTCTTCGATATCGTAGACTTTTACCCATCAATATCAGAAGAGCTCCTCACCAAAGTATTAGCATGGGCCATACAATACACATCTATTCCAGAAATAGATTACAGGACCATAATGCACGCAAGAAAATCCCTACTCTATGACAACAAAGAAAGAGCATGGGTAAAGAGGGAAACACGAAACGCATTTGACGTCACTATGGGCGTATTCGATGGAGCAGAAATCTGTGAAATAGTAGGACTATACTTACTACAGGAACTTGAAATAAACTTAAACGCCACTAGCATCGGTCTATACAGAGACGACGGCTTAGCCGTCCTAAGAAATCAAACTGCCAGAAAAGC